GTCTCCTTGGCGTCTAAGCTGTCTCCTTTTCTCTTTTTCTCTCTCTTCAGTTCTGGGTCTCTGATCTCTTTGTCTCCTTTGTATATTGCTCTCTCCTGCCGCTTATCTATTTGTCGTTTGTCTGTTGCTTCTTTCTGTCTCCTTTTAAGTGTCTCTTCTTGCTGCTGCTGCTGCTTCTGCACCCTTCCCCCTCTTCTCAGCTGTCTCCTTTCTCTTCTTTGTGCTGCCTTTGACTTGTAGGGGCCTCCAGAGCTGTACCCTGCCAGTGGGGGCCCCCCAGGGGCCCCCCCCTGCTGCTTGCTGCCGCTGTCTGTCTCTGCATTTATACTCTGACTGCTACGAAGTTAATTCAAAGAGGCAGCAGGGGCCCCCTGTCCCCTTTAGGGAGAGGGGCCCCCAACCGCGAGACTGGGGGAGGCCCCGTACCTGTGCCTTTATGCCTGAGGCAGAGGAGGCCCCGGGGCCCCCCTCCCCCCAGCCCTCAGCAGCAGCAGCAGCAGCAGCAGCGGCAGCAGCAGCAGCAGCAGCAGCAGCAGCAGCAACGGGGGATTCCTTCAGTCTCTGGGCCAGCGGGGGCCCCTTGCCTACGTATTTAGAGACAAGCAGCGGGAGGTAAGGGGGTCTCTAAGTAGTTGTTTTAATTCCTTTTGCTGTCTTCTGTCTCCTTTTATTGGGTGCTGCGGTGTCTCCATATTATTTACTTTCTTCTGTCTCTTTTTTGCTGCCTCTTTGTCTCCTTGTGTACTTACATTGGTGGTGCTGTGCTGCTGTTGGGGGTTTGCAGGCCCTCTGCGGCAGTCCCTTCTCCAGCAGCAACAGCAGCAGCAACAGCACCAGCACCAGCAGCACCTGCTGCTGCTGCTAATGCAGATGAGGCGGCAGCACAACTGGGGCACAGCGAACGACCGCAGCAGCGGCTGCAGCAGCAGCTGCAGCAACAGCAGCAGCTGCTGCTGCAGCAACTTCAGTTTGGCCCAACCTCAGCGCACAGCGGCAGTCACAGAGGGGTACGAAATAAACAGAATCTCCTTTCTGCTGTTGCTGCTGCTGCTGCTGCTGCTGTTACTGCTGCTGTTGCTGCTGCTGCTACTGTTGCTGCTGCTCCTTTGGTTGCTGCTGCTGCTGCTGTAGGTTGCTGCGACCTGTCTCCTTTTCTTTTTTTCTTTCAGCCCTTCGTCACACCAGGGACAACAGAGGCCCCGGGGGAGAGGGGCCCCCGTTCTTTTATCTTGGAGGGGGGCCCCCGCCTGGAGGTGCTGCGGGGTTTAAGTCGTTCTTACTTGTCAAGGGGCCCCCGATTGAGGAGACACCCCAGAGAGGGGGCCCCCATCCCCCTAGAAGAAGATATGTCAGGGGGTTTGTTCAACGAGCCTGGGGGCCCCCTGGGGGCCCTAGGGGCCCCCCCATCCTCTGCAGAGGACCTAGAGACAGCATTAGGAGATGCGGGGCCCCTTGAAGCGGCCCCCGACCCAACCCCACACGAAGAGGAGACGGGGGGCGGGGGTCCCCCTGACAACGAGGAGGTGTCTCTTCTTGGGGCTGGGGAGCCCCCCTTACTTCGGGTGCAAGAAGGAAGCAGCTACAGTGACAGCACAGAAGGAGACAATGCAGAGAGACAGCTGCTGCTAGGCAGCCCTCCGTACAGCCTCCCTCAGCAGGAGACAGAAGAGACAGAGGAGACAGAGGAGCTCAGTCAGTCTCTACAGCCGTTCTAGGCCTTCCTTAGGGCACCCCTAGCCCCATCGAATTGCAATTGCTGTCGTAGCGGTGTCTCCTTTAGAAGGAGACAGCAGAGAAGGTCTCCTAATAGGATTAGGTGTGGGGACTTAATTTGCTGACTAAATTTTGTCTCAAGCTCTAGGGTTTAGGGTTTAGGGTTTAGGGTTTAGGCATCAGGGTTAACGGTGTAGTAGTGTCATGGCTGCAGCGGCATGCGGCTTCTAAGCCTATTAGGGGCCCCCTGCTGCTCTAGCTGGAGGCTCCTCTTTGTTGGGGGGCCCCCCGGCCCCTTGGGGCCCCCCTCACTGCAGCAGCTGCTGCAGCAGCTGCAGCAGGAAGCAGCATCTGCAGCAGGTAGCTTATTTAAAGTGCCTTATTCGACGGTGTCGATACAGATACACTGCGCTGTCACTGCAGCGCAGTTGGGGTGTATCTGCAGCTTTGTTTGAGTCTCTTAGAGCCTGCAAACAAGGCGATAGGGGCCCCCTCAAACGCAGCAATGGCTACTTTAAGGGCCCCTAGGGGGCCCCTAGGGGGCCCCTGGTTTGTAGCTGTGTTAAGTTTTATAGTTAGTTCCGTCTGTAGGAGAATACGAGTTTGAGGGCTGAGCCGCAGATTGTGCTGCTGCTGCTGCTGCTGCTGCTGGTTTATATAAAGAGGGTGGGTTTGTGGCGAGGAGACAGGAGCGGGGTGCAGACGTTTTGTCTCCTGTCTCCTCTCAGGTGTATAGACACCGGAGAGGGGCCACCCTAAGGGGTCCCCTGGCGCTTGTTGTTTGTGTGGGGCAGTGCCTTAGCTGTTTATTTGGTGTCTCTTCCTATTAAAATATTATTCCTTATCATCTTGTGCTGTCTCCTTTTGTCTCTGTGCATGCGTTAGAACCTTATGCCACACTGTCTCTATCTCTCTGTCTCTCTGTCTCTATGATTTTCTTTCTATCTGTCTCTGCCTGTCTCTCTCCTTTTCTGTCTCTCTGTCTGCATGTTTGTCTCTGTCTCCATCGCTCTGTCTCTCTCTGTCTCTTTTTCTGTTTCTCTCTCTGTCTCTCCGTCTGCGTCTCTGTCTCTCTGTCTCTGTCTATGTCTCTGCCTCTCTGCCTATGTCTCTGCGCTTCCTTCTGTGTCTAACTCTATCTCGCTGTCTCAGTCTATCTCTCTGTCTCTGTCTCTCTTTCTCTGTCTCTCTCAGCCAGCTGCAGGGTCTCTCTTCTCTACAAAGGGTTTAACTGTCTCTACTGCTTCTTCGTTTGTTAAGAACTCCCATACACCGTCACTAGCTAGCAGCAAGCATTTATCATTTGGAGACACCTTATGAACAGCAACATCTGGCTCTGCTATAACCCCAACATTTGCTGCTAAACTGTCTCCAAGCGAGCGAGACATCGCAAGCCCAGGCACGTCGTCTCGCCGCAGCCATACTCTAACACAAACAACAACAGCAGCAGCAGCAGCAACAGCAGCAGCAGCAGCAACAGCAACAACAGCAACAGCAGCAGCACAACAGCAGCAGCAGAAGCAGAAGCAGGACAATATATATTATTTATATACATTTGCATATATATATATATATATATGGATGATGCATGTAGACATACAAATCTATATAAATATTTATATGTGAATGTACATACACAAATGTATATATATGTATAAACATAAATATAAATAAATAAATAAACACGTATAAATAAATAAATAAACAAACAAATATATATATATATATAGTATTTGCTGCAGCTGACCTGAGAGGCCCACAGGGCCTGCCTTGTTCGTCTTGCAGCGCGGCGACCCTTCCTCCTTTTGCTATTATTCTTTTTCTCTCTGCATCTACTTCAGGCTTATGATCTCTTGTAAGGGGGGTAATGCTCCAGGGGTGCTGAGGTGTGGGGCCCTGAGTAGCTAAGACTGCTCTACTATCTCCTACATTTGCAGTGTATAGGCAGCCCTGATGTATGATGCATGCAACACAAGTTGTGCCGCTACATAATATATCTGTAGGCCCTGTTTTTAGGGCTTTGTTTACGTCAAGATAAGCCTTATATAAAGCTTCTTCTATGCTGTTTTTCTGCTGTATGCGTCTGATAACAGAAGGAGACAGCAAGCGCTTTACCTCAGCAGAAACCCTCTCTCCATAAGGCCCATGACCATCTAATACACAGGCCCACACAGCTGTCCCAAACCCTAAACCCCAAACCCTAAACCCCAAACCCTAAACCCTAACTTTAGAGACACCTCCTACAAAACAGCCAGCTACACTTAAAGATGCATGCACAACAGACGCTAAGCCACGGCCTCCATCAACAGAAGCAGTAGGCCGCTCAGATTTACCTATGCATACACCCAAACGCAACTAAACAAATATAACCATTTATATATGCAGCTGTATTTATTTATATTTGCAATAATATATATATATATATATACATATATATGCGTATAAATAACCCCTAAAGTCTAACAGTATACATATATGCATATAAACATACGTATATATATACATATATATATATGTATATATATATATATATATATTTAAATTTTTATACAGCTATATATGTTGTTATTAATACATACATATACATATATATATATATATACATATTTATATATGTATGCATGCATAGGCTTTTAGTTTGCTGCACAAGGACCTGCTGAGGTCCTTCGTGACCCCAAAACCCCACCCACTATAAACTACAAACCCTAAACCCCAAACCCTAGACCCCAAACCCTAAACCCCAAACCCTAAACCCTAATCCCTAATTGGTTTTGACTGAGCGAACACCAACCGTACGCGGGCAAACATGTCGCTATAAAGTTTAGGGTTTAGGGTTTCTGTTGCTTCGTATATACTCTTCCTGGTGTCTTGCTTCTGTGAGGGGGCGCTGGAGGCCTCCTTCTCTAAATCAGGGGCTAACGTAAGCCTCTTCGTTCTTCTAATTAAAGACCCTCGGGGGGCCCCAGGGGCCTCTGGAGGAGGCTTCTGCTCTTCTCCTAGTTTGCTGCGCCTGGGGGCACTCATGTTTTAATGCTGCAGTGCGCCGGGGAGTAGCAGCTAGCTGCAGCTAGCTGTAGCTAGCTGCAACGGAAGATGAAGATAGCTGATGCTTCGAGTGGCTGCTGCTAGCTGCTGCCTACTCCTTCGTGCAGGGCGAATCGTGGCGAAGGGGTAAGTTCTGCTGGGATCGGGATCGTCAGCAATTTCTACAGGGATCGGGATCGTTTGAAAGGTCTATGGGGATCGGGATCTTTTGCAGTGTCCACAGGGATCGGGATCCTCAGCGAAGATTGCTGGGATCGGGATCGTGGCCAAGGACAGCAGCTGGTGCTGTGCAGCAACAGCTGAAAGGCCCTTAAGGCCTTGGGGGCCCTCGTTGAAGCGAGTGGTAGGGCCTGACGATACACTGTAAGAGAAAGGAAGCAGACGCAGCGGTGAGTTTAGGGTTTATAAGTTTGTTACTATGGGGTTGGGAGCATCAGAGAAGACCCGCTGAAGCATATATGAAATAACAAAAGAAAATTTCATTAAACAGAAACACCAAAAGACAAGAAGGAAGGATCAAGTACAACAAACAAACAAAACAGCCATCGACTAAACCCTCGAGGTTGCTGGTGTCTTATACCCCCCAACTTCTTTGAAATTTCTCCTAAAATGCGAACAAATACATAAATTAATTCAATTGATTTGTTAATACAGTCAAAAAAAACTTTTTTTCTGGCTTTTCAGGGGTTAATCCACGTACATTCACCAGCAGCAGAGTCCGCTGCTGCTGCTCGGGGCGACCGCCAGGTGTACGTACACTTCAATATACAGCGCGAGAGAAGCAGCTCTCCTTCCTCTTTTTTATTTCTAATTAAGCAAAAGGCAATTAATTTAAATAGATATTTTTATTTTTGCGGCTTTATTGAAGTTTTTTCAAACCCAATAAGCCCCTAAAACACAAAAGACAGCCCCTCACTGAAGGCTTCTGCAACCCTCACCGCTGGCTTGTTTGTTTAGTTTTTACTTCTCCCTTAGATTCCAAAATAAAGAGACATTTTATAATACCTTTAATTAAAAAAAAAGAAAAAAGTTTATCAAAATTTCGTAAACAACACATCTCTGCAGCGGGCAGGATCAGCAGCCACGCAGGTGACCTCACAGCAACAGCAGCATCAGCAGCAGCAGCAGCAGCCGCTGTATCTATAGTTTCTGCTGCTGCTGCTGCTCAACCGTCTCCCCGATACTTCTCTGCAGCTCTTCTAGAAAGAAGAACCTCTCATAGGAATGCCCCACATGCGTCAATGACGTTCACCTGGGCTTCACATTGTTGCAACAGAATCGAAATGAGTATGAAATAGATACATATATATTATATATATATGCTTATATGTATATATATTATATGTATAGTTTATATATATACATATATATATATATATGTGCATACTATGGCGGTTTAAATACTATTAAATAGGAAGATATCTAGGGTTAATATTTTAATATTATTTATTAGAGAGATATGTAAAAATAAGTGTTTTTATACTATTCATAAGGAAGATACTCAGTGTTCTTTATACCATAGATAAAGATATAAAGTATAAAGATTATAATGTGATAATAATAGAAAGATATACCATACCATGATCTTTGTATTATATTTGGATGCACAAATATATATATATATATAATATATATATATATATAAGCATAGATACATATATATACATATATATATGTGCATTTATGTATGTATATAAAATATATATTATACATTATATATTCTATATTAAGTATATGTGCATAGACTCGCGCATGTAATACGCACACACACACACACACAAATATAACTACATATATATATATATATATATATATGTAGAGATATATATGTAGAGATATATACGTGTAGATACATATACATGTATATAAATATACATATATCTAGGAGAGTTGAAGCGCCATATCAAGTTCAAAAGCCAATCTTTACTATTAAACTTAGAAAACGTAATTATTGCTC